TTGGTGACTGGGAGGATAGTGGTACCCTCTATAGTAATGGGAAAGATAGAAAGGTCTTGGGGAAAAAGATGTGTTCAGTTTAAGATTTCTATGGGACATCTGGTCTGAGATATCCAGTAGACAGTTGGAGATGCAAGTCTGGAGGTTAGAATATCGGTTAGGATTAGATAAGTAGATCTGAAAATCATCAGCATAGAGATGATAATTGAATCCATGAGAGCTGATGAGATCACCAAGTGAAAAGGTATGTAGAGAGAAAAGAAGTGATCCTAGGACAAAATCTTGGGGCATACCCACCATTAGCAGATGTGACTTGGATGAAGATTCAGCAAAGGATACTGGAAAGGAAGGCTTCAACAGGTAGGAGGAGAAATAGGATTAATGTCACAAGAACATGTAGTGAACAGTATCAAGGAGAAGAGGGTGATGAACAATGTTAGAGCATTCAGTTTCAAGTTTTTTATTCATTCATTTGTTGTAGTCATTGTGTATATTGTTTTCCTAGTTCTATGTATTTTGTTCTGCATGAGTTTATCTCGTTCTTCTAATGCTTCTCTGAATTATTCTTATTTGTTCTTAAAGCACAGTAATATTCCATTGTATTCACAGACCACAGGTTGTACAAAAAACTATCTTTCAGCGAGCATCCATTTTATTTTTACTTCTTTACTACAAATAAAAAAGGGGGGTGTTGCTATGAATGTTTTAGTGTATATGGGACTTCTCTGTCTTTGAACTCTTTAGCATAGATGTGTAACAGTGGGATTTCTGAGTGGGTATGGACATTTTAGTCACCTTTTTTATAGTATAATTCTACATTGCTTTCCAGAATGGATAGCTAATGCATGGTTTTGCCAACAGTGTTAGTGTACCTATCTTTCTGAGGCTTCTTCAACATTTACTGTTTCCATCTTTTGACATTCTTGCTTATTTTTTCCTGCACATTTCTCTTATTAATGATTTAGAGTGATTTTATATATGATTGTTATTCAAAAATTCAAATGGATCTCTGATCTCATTGATTCAGAAGTTCCCTCCAATGATGTGAATCACAACCCATGTATACCTGCCCATCTTGAGCACCTCTGGTTCATGCTGGAGCCCTTTCTTCTTTTTTTGGTACTCCTGATATTGTAAGGTTACTAGTGGAATACTCCAGCTATTCAGAACTAGCTAGTGTTGTAGTAGATAGAGGTTCATGGAGACCTGAGTTCAAATCTGGATTCAGACACTTAGGTAAGTCACCTAATCTCTGTTTGCTTCAGTTTTCTCAACTGTAAAATAGAGATAATAATAGCACCCATCTCTCAGGATTGTTGTGAGAATCAAATGAGATAAGATGTGCTTAGTACAATGACTAAGCATTACATAAATACTTATTCCCTTCCCTCCTTCTACCTGTCATCTTTTGTACTTGCCACATAACCAATCCATCATCTTTGCTCAGCATAGGATTACTTGATGACATCTTTTACTCTGGGTCTTCTTCAGGGCACCTTATCAATCATACGCTGTAGCCTGCTCACACTCCCCACTTATCTTCCATTTTACTCTGTGTTACACTCCTTTTTCATTTTTCAGAGGCATTTGGATTCTATGTCTTGCTGTCATATAACAACGCCAATAAAATGTTAGTATTAAAAAGATATGCCTTTTCTTTCAGAATGCATTGCAGACATGAGGGACATCCAGTGCAAAGTTTCAGAGAAGGAAGATGAAGTATCATGTCACTCTGACAGTTGTGAAGATGACATATTAGAATAGGGAGAGTCTGCAGGGAGGTAGATCAATTAGAAACTATTACTATAGTTGAGGCAAGAGTCAATGAGGGCTTGAATTTGGGTCATGGTTATGTGAGTTGTGAGAAGAAAATTCTTGGGAAAGATGTGAAGGTAAAAATAGTAAGATTTGGCAACTAATTGGATTGTGTTTATGTGTGTATGTGTGTATGTAAGGTAGAACAAGAAGTCAGAGATGATACTGAGGTTGAAAAATCTATCTGGCCAGAAGGATATAAGTGTCCTTAACAGATATAGGAAAGTTTGGAAGAGTGATGGGGTTTTTTTGGGGGGAGAGAAGAAGACCATGAATTTTGTTTTGGGTATGTTGAGTTTGAAATGTCTATAGAATGCCCATTTTGAAATGTCCAATAGAGAGCTTGTGATGCAATGAAACTCAAAAGAAAGCCAGGGCTATAGGTATATAGATCTAGGAGTTTTGTGCAATAGAGATGCTAATTAAGTCCATAGTAGCTAAGATGATACAAAAAATGATATTATGTAGAGAGAGAAAAAGGCCCAGGACAGAACTTTTGGCTATACCAAGAGTTGAGAGGATGTGATATAACAAAAGAGCAGTCAAAGGAAAATAAGAAGGAATGGCCAGACAACAAGGAGAAGAACTGAAGAGAAACCTGGTAATCACAAAAACTAGGACAAGAGATACATAAGAAGAGATGGTGGTCACTGTAAATTGCTGCAGAGAGCTCAAGAAGGGTGAGGACTGAGAAAAGACTATCAGATTCAGCAACTAAAAGATCATCAATAAGTTTGAAAAAGTTTTAGTTAGAAGCCAGATTAAAGTGAGTGAGAGGAAAGGAAATGGAGGCAATGAATAAAGACAGCTTTTTCTAGGGATTTGACTGACAAATGGAGGGGAGAAATAGGACAATAATTTAAAAGGATGATTGGATCCAGGGAAAGTCTTTTTATAGATGAAGGAGATTGGGGAATGTTTATAGGCAGCAGGAAAGAACCAGTAGATAGGGAAAGAATCAATAACAGAGGTAAAGAGATGACTAAGGAATCTAAGAAGATGGGAGGGGATATGATCAAGGGTACATGTAGAGGTATTGGCCTTGGCAAAAACACAGCCTACCCTCTTAGTAGAGTGGAGCAAAGGTGGAGAGAGTGGGGAATTATGTCATTGGGGATTTGCAATAAAGGGGAGAAGAGAGAGCTCACAAAATCTATTTTCTCAATAAAGTATGGGATCAGGTCCCCAACTGAGAGGATCAGGGATTGGAAAGTGTGAGAGGTTTGAGTAGAGAAGTGAAGGCTTGGATCAATTTTTGCAGGAAGTAGGAAAGAGAATAAATTAGGGAGAAGTAGAAAGGATTGCCTTGCTGTAGATAGGATCCAACTGAGTTTATATAACATAAATTTATAATAGACCCAGTCAGCTTGACTAGATGACGTCGTCTAGGTTCATTCAGCAGCATGTGAGTAGGCACAAAAGAGACACATAGTGAAGTAATCCAAGATTTAACGTTTGTTTTTTTAAAATTTTACTATTTTATTCTGAACTTAAGAAATAAAACAAGCATTTACATAACACAGTAGAATAGAAAAAAAGATAATTGTACATGATATGCAAATCTATTATGTACAACTTGCTATTCCTTTTAAATATGTAATGTAACTTTCTTTTTTCCTTTTTTTTCTTCTCTCTTGCCCCTTCACCATAGAGAAGGCTGTTATCTGAATGCAGATAGCATCTTCCTTCATAGGTCTTTTGTAGTTAATTTGGGTATTTATAATAGTCAAAATGAGTTAGTCACTCAAAGTTGTTCTTAAAATAATATTGCCACTATTGTATACGATGCTTCTTGGTTTTGCTCGTTTTGCTCTTCATTATTTCATGCGCATCTAGTAACTTTATGTTTGACAAGTGAAAGACTTAAGTTTGGGGGATAATAATTCATTATTTGGTAAAAATTGGTGTGAAAACTAGAAAACAGTCTGGCAGAAATTGGGCATAGACCAACATCTTACACCATTTACCAAGATAAAGTCAAGATGGATATATGACCTAGATATAAAGAGAGATATTACAAGAAAATTTCAAGATCGTGGAACATATTACCTATCAGACTTGCAGATAGGCGAACAATTTGGGTTGAACAGGATTAAAGTTTGATAAGTCGTGAGTAACAATAGGATGAGGGGGCCAGGGATTTGAGAGTCCAGGCCAAAGTAGAGTTGAACTGATTAACTGTTGAGTCCAGGTTGGTAAGGTAGGAAAGTGAAGTCAGAGGAAGGATAATGGCTTGAAGCTAAGGGGTGGAGGTATTGAAAGTCATGATGGAGAGGAAGTGCTTAGGTAAAACAAGACTCATGATTTGGATACTTGGAAATTTTAGACCAGCTGATCCAATAAATTATTTTTCTCAACGTTAGAAATACATGACTGTTTTCTCCTTGTAAATTACAGATGAGTTCGTTAGAATCTGCAATTGTTCTATTAAGTATACATTCTGTCATCATATTATTTTTCATAAGACCCTTCCTAGAGTATTCTGTTCAGTATGTATTCCACCATCTAAGAGAAGGCTTAAGTTGTAGGAAATGATGACAATTGAAGGGTTGGAAAAAATAGGATATATAGGAGAGATTAAAGAAACAGAAATGTATTAACTTGGAAAAATTCCCAAATGAAAAGTCTCATGCAAAGAAAGGGTGGTGGTTAGTTCTGGGGAGGGGAAGCACTCGTTTCCTTTTTTTTTTTTTGTAGATTTAATTCCACTTCCCAGTTTTAAATAGATGTAAATGACCTGAGGATGACCCTCCAGCCAGTATGCCTTACTCTTTCCTTTTCTTCTCTCTTTCCCTTTTCTTTGAAGTCCATTCCCAACCCCAAATCCATTTCCTTTTCCAGATTCTATATATGTAGTTTGGTGGAAGAGCATTAGTCCTAATTAATGGTGATCCAAAAAAACATTCTAACTCCTCTTCCCTACCCCAAGCTCAGTGTGATGTTTTAGAAGAAATTATAGCTGGAGAAATTTAAAAAATGATTTCTTAATAATGTAAGGAGATGAGGAGAATGGGAGGGAAGGGGGAAAAAGAATGAATGACAAAGAATAGGAAAAAAAGACTATATACAGAATATTTTCAACTGGAAATCTTTACAAATAAGATATTGTCCATTTTTTTCAGGATGGTGTAGGTGAAATCAAGAGGAAAGATTATCATTCAATGACCATTTTTCCTTCTCTTTAGGACCTGGACTTATTTTTATCATCTACCCTGAAGCAATTGCTACTCTTCCTTTGTCTTCTGCTTGGGCTGTGGTTTTCTTCATCATGCTGCTCACATTAGGAATTGACAGTGCTGTGAGTAACCTCAAGTACCACACTCAGAGATAGGGCACTAGCAAGCTAACACAGACTAAAGCTTTACCAGTCCCATATGAGAGGAATTAGAATTTACATTGATTAGGGCACCCTTTCTTCAGATTCCATAAAGACTGCTGTCCTTTGATCACTACGATATCATGCTTTGTCATTACAGTATACTTTCATAATTATGTTATCATACCCAAGCTTATGTTTATTTTATATTGATCACATTTGAGGCTGGTTGTTTCCTACTGTGCTTTTATCTCAGAGAGACTATATATCTCTAAATAACACTGTAAGATAGATTATTTCTGGAAGATTTCCTTTAGATCCTGCTCATCATGTGTGAGTTCTTATAAGCCTTAACGAGAGAATGCCCTTTCCCTGTGCAAGATTGCCTGTCCTCTTCCTGATTTTTTGCCTTAATCATCTGTTATCCTGGATCTTGGAGACTAATGAAGTTCAATTCAATGTTATTTAAATAATATTGATGTTAATTAATAACATAATGTTGTTAAGTTCAATGCCAGTTAAGCCTTTACTATGAATAAGGCTCTATTTGAAGTTATAGTAACACAAAACAAAATGAAAAACAGTCCCTGCTATTGAACACTTCACATTCTATTTGGACAATACCACATGTATACAGCTAAGTATATTACACAGTAGGGATGGAAGGGGACAAGGAAGAAATGAGACAAGGACTCTAGGAATATTGAAGGAGGGAAGGAACACTAGCAAAATTGAGACCACCATGCTTTGTGGTCTCTGGTCCATAGTCACTATGTATCAATGACTGGGCTAGTACCACACTGGAAAACAAAACAGAACTCTGTATGTGTGCATGGGTAGTGTATGTGCACGTGTGTATGGAACCTTACTTAAATGGATCAGGCAACAGCTACAAAACTGAACAATTATGATCTGATCAGGCATATAGTTACTAAATTTTTTCCATCAGTGAACTAATTTTTGTCCACTCAAGCAAATTTTCCTGTCATCTGAAACAACTGAGAAACCTGTTATTATCATGTGCCTACATACTGCACAATCATTTTGTACCTAAAGGGCATTTAAATATTTGTTGAATTGAGTAAATGGTAAGATTAGCAGTGAGGTGGGGGAAAGGGGCAGTGTTGAGGGTTGGGGTGATAAGGAGGAAGAAGGAGCTCCATTGCCTTAGGGCAGACAACCATGGGTCAGTACAGAATTGCATAATTCTGTTTTCATCATTTCTATTCAAATCTAGTATGTAAAAGGTAAACCCTGTGGGGCACAGGTAGCTTCACATATTAATTTATTTCGTGTTCTGTTTATTCCATTGTAGATGGGAGGAATGGAGTCTGTGATCACTGGACTGATTGATGAATTTAAGTTTCTCCACCGGCACCGAGAGCTTTTCACCCTATTCATTGTCTTGTCAACATTTCTAACCTCCCTCTTCTGCGTCACCAATGTATGTCACCGACACTCTAAATGTTAATCTGCCAACTTGATTCTTGAACTAGGTCTTCTGCTGATGAGAGCCCCCTTTAAGCATGAGGGTATCTTTCCTGTGTACACAGTGTTTATATATTACATTCTGTTCTGCCAGATCAAATTTAAGCCCCAGAGTTTACAGAAAGCAGCAACTTCTAAAGTGCCTGTGACTTGTCATACCATTCATTAACATCTTACTTGGTCTGAACTAACTTTAACAGCAAGTCATTTTATTGAGAAGTGCACTGTATTAAAGTCTATTCTCTGGGCTTTAGGGCTTAGGAGGGATTGGGGCAAAGAGTCAAGTTGTTGTGACGTAAATGCGACACACATTTTTGGACATGGCCAATGACAGAATTTGTTTTACATGATTATGAATATTTGTCATGAGGGTTTTGTTTTTCTTTTTTTTTCCCCCATTGGAAGAGGATACAAGGGAAAATAAATATTTGTAAATTAAAAAAAAAAGTAGCCCTCATAGCATTTGGCCCATTCTACTCTTAAATTTAATTTCAAGTCTTTGGAGAGAATAGTGCAGGTAAAACTCAATTTGAAGAATATCTTTGTTCTAAAAAGTTTCATGTAAATTGAGTTCTTATAAGCTGAATGATGGTTTAATTAGTGTGGATTGCTGTTTAATGACAATCTGTTACGAATCCTTTTGTAAGTAAATAGTGACTTGTGAAATGAGTAATCACCTGCTAATCAGCAGCAATATGATCTGGAAAAAACAATGGATTCATAGAGGCCCTGTGTTCTGGGCTCTACTCAATTACTTATTAGCAGTAGCTTGTGCCTGGGACAACACATTTAACCTCTTTGGTCCCAAGCTTCCTCATACATAAATTGGAGAATGAGCTCTCCAAAGTCCTTAGATTCTGTGATCTCTAACAAAAACAATAATAACTGACATGTTTATAACACCTTAAATTTTATATCTCGTTTACTCATGACAACCTTGTGAGGTACATGATGCATTCATTTTTACACTCATTCAGCAGATGAAGGAACTAAGTCCAAGAGAGGTGAAGTAGGTATCTGCCCAGGTCTTCCCGATTTCACATTTGGTGTTTTAGCCATTATATTATAACTTCCTCTCAATCCATATTCAGTACAGTACCTAAAGCAAGATATACTTGTACCCTTGAGTATTTAAGATATTGGCCATTGATTGTTCTGAATATCTTGAATCTCTGAAAGTCTCTTACCTCTTCCCCAGGGTGGCATTTATGTCTTTACACTGCTGGACCATTTTGCTGCAGGGACCTCTATTCTTTTTGGAGTACTCATTGAAGCCATTGGGGTTGCATGGTTTTATGGTAAGGAGAGATACCACATTCTATGGTGGCATGTATGGTTGGAAATGGGTCAGGAAACCAGTTTCCCTGAGTTCTTTGTGACCAGGGCTGAGCTCCCTTCAGCATGTTTATTAGTTGTGGTGATGTTTTCATTGACAAAGCTAACCAGAAGATAAAATAAATGTTAGCTCATGAAATTTAGTTTCTGATTCCCTAGAATATGACGGAGTGTAGACCTGGCAATTGTTTACTTAGGTTAAATCAGTATAAAGAGGCTGGCTAATCAAGGCATGCAAAAATAATCTACTACATTGATCAAACTACCCATATAATTATTAACTTTCCACTGAACTTTGTGCTATATCAACAGCCTAAATATGATGCCAAGTACAGTTTTTTGGGAAAATGTAACTATAAATACTGATGGAAGTTTGGAGGTGATGAAACTATAAAAGAGTAAGTTAAAAGTTCTTATTCATTAACTCTAAGCCAGCTTGGGGATACTTTCACAGTAACTTCTAGCTTACCATTTATAACCCCTAGCTCAAAACCCACAGTTCTGACCTCAAACAGACTGGGTTTGGAGAAAACCTCTTAGAGGTTTCTTCATAATTAGTGATATCTGTAACTCAGGTTTCCCTCTGAATTTAAGTTTCACAGTTCCCCAAAAAGGTTCCCAGCTCCCACATGATCATCAGCTTTCCAAGGCATAGGACATTGAATGAGTTATTAATAAGCAAAAATTACAGAAAGGACTTGTTTCTATCCCATAATTAACCAAGAAAACTATCCCCTCTAGTGGGAGCCACATATACACTCTGAGTATCACCCTGGGTTTGAAGCTTCCCTATGTAGGAAAAGAACTAAATATTCCCAAAAAGTTAGGCAATTTATTCTCTGTTGAGCCCCTTTCCCAAAAGACTTCTGTAATTTCTCCAAGCTTGTAATGCTATCCTGGAGTTAAGGTTGAGGTCCCCACATATGGGAAAAGAATTTGGGGTTTCTACAGAGTTAATTCCTCTCCCCTGGATGTGTCCCGCCCTCACGACTCAGCAGCAGTGAAAGACACAGTCTGAGTTTTCTCCTCTTCTTTGTGGTTCTGTGCCTCATTGTGCTTCACTTACTTTGCGGCTGCCTTCAGCCCCCCACGGTATCATTCTCTTTGGGGCCATCATGTAGAGCTCAGTGACAAGGTCTCATCACTCTGTTGCATTGTTAGTGCAAATATCTGTAGCTGCCATCTGCTTCCAATTGTCTGACTTTCTCAAATAGAATTATAGCTCCTTCCCCCACCACTAACCTGCCTCTGAGTTAGTTAACAAATGTCTAGCTGGCAGACAAGTGGATCCCAAGGCAGCTAAGACCCCGGGCTCACCTGATTCAACTTATGGTTTTCAAAACTCACTCCTATCCAAGTTAGGTGACTTCATTCTTCTCACTTTTCTCCAGACTCAGGGTGCAGTCGGTTGACCATCTCCTTAACCTTCATGGTGCTATCCTCCATTGAATCTTTTTGACTTTAGGTGAAAACACTTGCTCCCTCCTTTCCAATTGCTTTTCCCTTCATCCCCAACCTCCACTAGGCCCATGTCATATGATTACCCTGATGGTCCAAGAAGTATCATTGGAAAAATCTGACGGGAAAAGGCAAACCTGAACCCCTAGTGAATGCTCACAGCTACTGAGATGTCAATGGCTCATGTCCCCATTATATGTCTAGTAGTGCAACAGGTTGAGATTCTTCCTTTACATGAGAAAAATAACAGAAAATAAGATCTTGCTTTCAAATACGATTTTCCTTCTCTGACTTCCTGACACAGTCCATTCTCTTCATTTTCCCTTTAGCTTACAGTATATGTATAGAGCTAAAAAGCCCTTGCACGTTTTAAGGAAATAAATATGGCTTCTGAGGAGCAGTCAGAAAATGGACCAGAATATTTATATGTCTGATGCATCAGAGAAGTTATTCTGATTTTCCCCATATTTCAAGGACAAAACTTTCACAATAGGACAGCAACATTTATGTAGTTTTGAATTTGAATTGTGTTTTGAATTTGTGTGTGAAGAAAAACTGCCAAAGGTCTTTCTCCTCCTCCTCCTCCTTCTCTCTCTCTCTCTCTCTCTCTCTCTCTCTCTCTCTCTCTCTCTGTCTCTCTCTCTCTCTCTCTGTCTCTCTGTCTCTCTCTCTCTCTCTCTCTCTCTCTCTTTCTCTGCCCCTCTTCAAAGAAAGGTTATATAAATATGTTTGATGTTTACCGACACTTTCAAATTCAGCAATAATTGATATTCACATTTGGGGGAAAAATAGTTGTTTTAACCTCATGCTAAGCTCAGCATTTAGCACAGTGCCCAGCACATAGTAGGTGCTTGATTAATGTTTATTAATTGATTGATCATAAATATCTTCATTTGAAAAAGAGTGATTGGGTATGGGCAGTAATTTTTTTTTTGGCTCCAAAATATTACTTAGACTTCTTGCTCATTAATAATATATTCCTACATTAACTCAATACACTTTTCTGTAGTTTATCTTGTCATCAGTAAATTCAGAACATTTCAAATGGACTCTACCACACAAGGTCCCTTAAAGATTGGCATGTGAGCAGCACCTTACGTTAATAAAAGCTTAAATACACCAAGGAATCAGGCCTGTTACATATATTCTAATTGCACCTCAGCCAGTCGGAAGTCTACGAGTGATTGATTAGGTAAATACATGATGCAGACATATTGAGGCCATGTGCCTAGGGTGTTTCTCTTTAGCTTTCCACCATAAAACAACAAGAGAAAAATTCTTGCCAAAAGATATTGCTCTAGATGCTAAATCCACTGAAGTTACTTCATCTTATCAGTATTTTTTGGGGAGAAAATGTTTTATTTTTCTTAGAGTGCAGCAATCATAATTTACAATTTAAAATGCCATTTAGAATATCTAAGAGAAACGTACGATTGGTAATGATGTGAATTTACTGTTTTGATTAGGATTATAAGAACATTGTAAAATGTAAGATATAGGACCTCTAAACACTAAAAGTTTTGCATACTTCTAAACCTAGGACTACTTGATAGCAACCCAAGTGGCAGGTTTGGGGCCTCCAAAAAGACCCCCTGAATATGCTCTCTACTGTGCCTGAAATTCTTGTCATTAGCTAATCCTTGGATTAAAGCTATAAGGAAATGCAAATGTTGCCATAGAGAGAATGCATTAAGATACTAATACCTCAGTTTGAATTATTTGATTGTTAGTTACTTGACTAATTTAATCCCATCAGCAGTCACCATGAATTTGGGGTTGTCATAAGTGTCTACTTTGATAGAGGCCCTCTGAGACCTCTGAATGACTTCTGAGACTCAATCTCTGACTAAACCTAAACTTAACTCTTCGGACAGCTGCCATATGATCCACTATCTTGAATTGTGGGGGGGGAAGGGAAGTGTTTGGATTGCAATGACCCAGTCACTGATGGGATTTAATTGATGGGAAGGGACATGTTGCAGGTAAGATTTAATGTGGTGAGAGGTGAAGGAAAAGTTCAGAGCATAGGACCCTCCCAAATTGGTGGAATCTCACATGGCCAGCCCTAGGGAGGTGGAGGTGAGCATTAGGGTTCTGGATTCTTGTAAAAGATGAGAATGGCAAAAGAAAATACATAAAAGGCAATAAAGGAGGGCTAAAGATAGACTTTGCCTGTTTCACAATTTTGCCTCAGAGTTGCATCTGTGAGATAGACTCATTATTCTGCCTCTCAGAGGAAGAATGAAAAACTGAGTGGCACCTTCAGAGAGGATCTTAGAAACTTAGAAACTTAAGATCTCCAAATAAAGTAGTTGTTGGCAGAAGAAATGTACTGCACACTCTTATCACCACAAGCTGATTAATTTCTGAGTCATCTGTTCCAACTCAATTCATAAATAGGTGTGTTTGGCCCTGGGTCATTCCTGTCCCAATCCTTCCCTTCTCCCAAAACATGGGGAGCTGCCAGAAGAGTTTCATTTAGATTTAGTCAAGGATGAGGTCCAACATGCCTTTAGAGGGCCCCAACCAAAGTGGACAGATCTCATGACCCCAAATTCACATGCACTATGATCATTGATGGGCCCAGTGAACCTCCATCATGTCTCATGATGATGTCCGTGATTATCAAATGTTTTTCTCTTTTCTTCAGGAGTTGGTCAGTTCAGTGATGACATTAAACAAATGATCGGTCGGAGACCTGGCTTGTATTGGCGGCTTTGTTGGAAGTTTGTCAGCCCTTGTTTTCTTTTGGTAAAATAATGTTCTTTTAACACTTTTAAAGGATAATTATGTGACAATTTTTCATTCTTCACAGGTCTTTATCAGTCTTTACCATTTACCCTTCTTCATTGCCTTCCACAAATAGACACATTCCTTTGGATTTTAAAGAGGAGGCAAGCTTGATGTAGGGAAAAGAATATTTAGAGAGCCAGTAAACCTGGGTCCAAGATCTGATACTGACTTTATGGTCTTGGACAAGTGATTTAACTGTGTTTGGCCTCCATTTCTTCCCCCACAAAATAAGTACATTGGAATAAATTATCTCTAAAGTTGCTATAAACTCTCCGATTCTCTAATAAGTAAACTGAAGGAATTTGGAGCATTCTTTAGAAGGGTTACCAGGGATCTTTTGAAAGAAAGGAATTTATAGGTAGAATTTGTCACATTTTCTTAGTGATATCTCCAGAAGTGGTGCAGTATTAGTATTTTTTTAAAGGCCATATATCCTGGATCCTTCTGAGCTTTTATTTTCTAATTTCTTCCTTTTGTTCCTACCTAGAAGAATACAAATTTTTAAATCTTAAAAGAGATTACGTTCCTAATCTGATAAGCTTGTTTAGTAGTTACTGGCCATCTGTCCTTGTTCCTTTTTGATCAGAAATAACTGATACTGAATTGTCATTGGGGAAGAGATGGGACAGAGTGGGAGAGTACCCAAAACATGGTCATTTATGATCAAAATAGAAGAATTTAAATCTTCAAAATGGACTATAGTAAACTTGGAAAATCATCCTGTAATGCATAAGTAGCTCTAAAAACTCAACACCTTTATCATTTCCTTTTGTCAGTGCAGGTTAGTTCCCATAGTTTCACTGTGGTTATTGAAATAAAGGTCAGTGGTTCAGTCCTGGTACTGTCCAGTTTGATTTATGCAAATAACAAAATGCTTTTATCCTCTGCTGCCCTATGGAGTTTTAACCCTGGTCCATCCAGTGGTCACAAAGGGGGGGTCACAATAGAGGGTAAACCTGTCAACATCATGAAAATAACTCAGAGCATATTTCTGCTAATGAGTCATTAATGTTGTTTTTGTAAGGTATTTATTTAGTGTCAGTCACCTAAATTCTCAACCCTATGCTAAGTTCTAAGGGGACTCAAAGGAAAATTCTTACACTGTCAGGAAAATAAAATTAACATATGTGAAGCAATTAGGGAACAACTCAGAACAAGGATTATCTTTGTTTTTGTGTTCCCCCATAGAACTTAGCATATTAACATGTTCATAGGAGGCACCCAATAAGTATTTATGAGTGAGTGAGTGAGTGAGTGAGTGAATACTTTGGAATGCTCTATGTGATGGTAGTTCAGAGGCATGCTAATTTTACTTCTAAAACAAAGCAATTTCATTAAAAGCCATTTTATAATTAGTGGAATAATTCTAAATTTTCCTGCATTGTTTTATTCTTGAAACATTTCGTACATGTCCGATTCTTTATAACCCTGTTTGAGGTTTTCTTGGCAGAGATACTGGAGTGGTTAGCCATTTCCTTCCCCAGCTCATTTTACAGATGAGAAACTGAGGTACACAGGGTTAAATGACTTGCCCAGTTTCACACAGCTAGTAAGTGTCTGAGAGCAGATTTGAATTCAAGTTTTCTTGACTCCAGGCCCAGCACTCTATTCACTGTGCCACCTGGCTGCCCTAGTTTTAGAAAAGTTCAAAAGAAGAGTAAAATACTCCTAAAACTTCTCATTTGAAATTTCCTTCCCTATTTATTAACTCTCCTTTGTATTTCTCAGTCTAAACTCTTAAAATGTGATGATTTTTGCCTGACAGAGCTTTTCTGTCCTCTTTAAGAATTAACCCTTCAATACTTGATAAGCTATAGTAATGTTTTTGAGACTTATTTGAGATCAAGGAGATCTTCCCTTGTGAGAGACAGAATTCAGGTCACACTTTATGAGGCACATGAAAGACAATATCAGGAGGTTTTGGTAAGCCTCACAGGATGAATTTATCAGCTATTCGTTTTCAAAACTTAGAAGAAATCTTAATAATTTTACTTGTTGTAGACAAAATATCACAAAATTTTGAAACTACAGTCCATGGCAATACTATTTTCTATAATAACATGATTGCTGTGTGGTAGAAGGGGATAACAAATCATTGTTATTCTATGTTTATTATAATTTTTATGTGGCCGATCATTTGAGATTTTCAAAAAATCAAACTTATTGAGAATGGTGCACATGTGGAACAAGTCTCCCCCAGATGGTTTCTCTGACTTCAATCAGAGTCACAATTGGCAACTCATCTGAAAGATAATTTATACCAGATCAAAGCCGTTTGACATGTGAAATTATAGCCCTGCTGAAAACAGTTATTTTTCATAAATGTAATGCTTAATGGGTGTAACTAGTCAAATGAACCAAGAAAAATTGTTACATTACCAACTGATGTGAAATTCAGCTGTACCATAACCTCATCTATCCAGAACATAGCCAAGAATAAGGAAATGAGCCCAAACAGCTTGTGAGCAGCCAAAATAATTGCAAAGTCCAGGCACTAAAATTCATGCACTTTACTCCCAAGCAAGCTCCTCGGGCTCTTATTTTCCTTTGTTATCAATCTGGAAGCATTTGATATAGACCAAACAGCCACATAGTATACGGCAAAGAACACTGGACTTAAGATCAGAAGACCTAGATTCAAATCCCAGGCTGTCACTTCTAAGCTGTGTGACTTTGGATGAGTCCCTTAACCATACTGAATGTTAATTTCTTCATCTGTTAAATGAGATTAATTATAGTTAACATAGTAGAAAGAGTGCTGACCTTGGAGTCAGCAAGTACCTGAGTTCAAATCCCATTTCTGATATTGGCTGGCCAACTGCAGGTCAAACACTTATTCTCTCTGAGCTTCAGTTTTGTAAAATTGGGATAATATTACCTGTAGTACCAGCTTCATACACACTTCACATTATTCTGTGTCATCATAAAACACATATGAATTCCTGACCAATTTTCCTATTCATTATTTTTTATATTTTATAAATAACTTTCTAGGATTTCTAGGATCAATTTGAAAAACTGATTCCTGTATAGATTGCTTGAGTAGGTGGTCTTGTTAAGAAATGAACAGCAAAAAGATATTTTGCTTTTAAATATTACTGATAGCTTTTGTTTTTGCATGATGCTCATTTTTAAAATATATCTCTTCTCCTTCCTCTCTTAATGTATCTATTCTCTTTATCCTATCCAAAGAGCCATTCCTTGTAACAGAGATTTAAAAGGAAAGAGGGGTGGGTGGGAAGGAAGTTCAGCAAAACTAAGTAACTCATAACCTGAATTTGACAGCATATGTAACTAACATTCCACATTCATAGTCTTTCAGCATTGCAAAGAACAGAGAATGGTGTATTTTCTCTTTTCTTCTTCAGGAACAAACCTAGTTATCAGAACCAGTGTTTGGTTTCATTTTTTTTTTTACGAAGTATATTTAACTGAATAATACCTTGATTGTTGAAAATTTGCTTAAGGAAAAAATCTAACATGTTCTAGCAAGTAAAGTGATTTTCTCCTGCTAAATAATCAGATACTGAGGCAGTGGGACCTATTGGATACAGTTCTGGTCTTTGATTCAGGCAGACCAAATTCTGATTTGTATAGCTATGTGACTATAGAAAAGTCACTTAACCTCTCTGATTTAAGTTTCCTTATCTGTACAATGGGGATATAACAATACCTGAAACACCATTTTTCCCCCAAGATTATCATGTAATTTAAATGAGATAACATATGTAAAGTACCATGTAGACTTCAAAAAGTGACAGTCAGCTATTTATTATATTTTCCAGTGTCTTGCACACAGTAGGTACCTAATAAATGCTAGTTGAATTAAATTAAATTGGTTATCTCTTGACTTTTCCTCTCTCCCTCCCCTGTTTTCAGTTTGTGGTGGTCGTCAGCATTGTTACGTTCAGGCCACCCAACTATGGAACATATATCTTTCCAGACTGGGCCAATGTAGTGGGCTGGATAATAGCCACTTCTTCCATGGCAATGGTACCAATTTATGCCACCTACAAATTCTGCAGCTTACCTGGATCCTTTCGTGAGGTGTGTATTTGGTCTGGGGCACTGCACTGGGTACTTTGGTACATTCCAGATGTGGGCATGGTGTGTCTTCATATCCTGGGTTTCAGTACTCCCTTTGGTCAGGAAGATAAAGAATGGAGATGACTGAAATAATAGAAAGAGAAGGGAATGCTCATGGAGGGGAATATAGAATGCATACGTGTGTGTAAAATGAATTTGGCAGTGCTGGTATAGATAGACCGATGGTTGAATGCAGGTGAGAGCAAAAGGAAATCGATCACCACCTCACCCTCTAGCAGGTCCATTGGTATGGCACAGATTGAAACATATTTGAGAAACATTGGTCTGGAGAATTCTATATATGCATTTTTCAACACTAACATTCTTCAACACATCTTGGACTGAAACTGGGTTCTAATCTTGGTTCTGACAGTTGTGTACTCTTGGGCAAATTATTTAACTTTCCTGGACTTCAGTTCACTTATTACCAGTTGAGCAGAATGGATCTCCAATTATCTCAAAGATCCCTTTCAGCTCTAAAATTCTATGAACACATAATTCTTAGGAGAAAAAACAACATTGAGGCCCAATATTCTCTTTAAAGGAACATGAAACCCATTTTAACATGCAGGAAAATTAGAGATTCCTAGAAATAATCCTGAATTTTCACACTGTGATATTTCTTGGAAATTGTTAAAATTACAGTGAGCATTGAAATAATGTTGCTCAACATCGGTTCTGACAAATGGTGGGATAATGTCTCTAGAGGAGAGAGGGAATAGAGAAGAAGTGGGACAAGAATTGCAGTGACCCAAGGGGCCTCCTTAAAGGGCCAGTGGGTTTCTTGTGGGGCTTAGATTTAGTTTATAAAGATTAAAACTAAAATTTAGTGTCCCAAAGGTTGGTATTTAATTACTTTAATCATCTACCAGCTGATATAGAGTTGAAACAGCTGTGTTACTGTTTTGTGTGACTTTCATTTTTGTTTAACTGATTTGAAGTTTTATTGGAAAAACAAACTGAATGGGTTAAACTGTATGTGGTGACAGAGCTGTCCAGAGCAAGGGTTTCAAATCACCAGTGCAAGGGCCAGTTCTGGTTTGTAGCAAATTTATACCAATCTACAAAACTTTTGAAGTAACTAAGGGGTACAGTGGATAGAATATTAAGCCTGGAGTCCAGAGGACCTGAATTCAAATGTGACCTCAGACACTTACTAGCTGTGTGACCCTGGGCAAGTCACTTAACCCTGTTTACCTCAGTTTTCTCATATGTAAAAGCTGGAGAAGGAAATGGCAAACCACTTCATTATCTTTGCCTAGAAAACCCCAAATGGGGTCACAAAGAATCAGATACAACTGAACAACAAGAACAAAATTTTTATTGCTAAAGGACCTTCTAAAAACCTACGAACTCAAAAAAAGATTCTTCCTTCTCTATGAATTCTGCTTATCCCACTTCTGCCTTCCTTCTCTTCTTGGTCCCCATATCCAATCATTGCACCCCTTCATAAATACATACACACACAGCTAGAGAGACATTATGCTGAAGCTAAAATGGGGAAGGAATAAAACACCATAAAATTTAAATATTTTACCAGACCAAAGTATAATCAAAGTTGGGAAACACTGATCTGGAGTGGCTAGAGTATCCTCTTGGGAATTACTTGTCTCTTCCACATACTCTTCCCACCTTTTCCTTTCCCTACTATTATTCCTAAACAAATAAGTTTGGAAGCAGTACTGTGATGAAAGAAAAAGAAAGAGATCAATGGCTATTACACAGTCACTCAAAAATTATGCTGCCTTCACTTTATAAAAGGGAGAGAGATATCAAAATTGAGGAACAACACTGAAGAATTATTGATTTTAAAAGCACTTTATGTACCCAATAGGTACCTGTCATGATTCTTCATGATTTAGGTGAATGACAAGCACTACAGTTTGGAAACCTGGGCCTCAAGAAGGTCAAGTCCAAGATTACACAGAAATAAGAAGAAAGCTATGAACTTAAGAATCTGCCACTCTTGCATCTGTTTAGCAAGGGAAGTCACTGTCGAGCCATGTCTGGCTTTGCTAGAAAAGTGGGGAGAGTAATTGCCTCTTCCTCAGAAGACTAAGGTTTTTGGCAAGACAGCTGTCATTTCCAAAGAACTGTATAAGGGGAAAACTGGAAAAATCTTCACAAAGTCTGACAAATGGAAGTGTGTGCTTTGCTTTGTGATTTATTGTGTATATATATCCAGTTTGTGGTAATGGTGATACACAAGATAATGTATAGTGCTTTCTAGTATGCATTCCTCTCATTTTGAGCCCAGGAACCCTTAACCAGAGAAAAACAATCATCTAGGCCAGCTAGATTGTAGTAGATAGTAGATTAAGGGAGGCCCTTGGGTGGGTTCCTTTGAATTCCTCCAACAATCCACAACTCTTTCTACAAAAATCCAATTATTGGTCAATGTGATAATTGTTTTGTATGTTTTCATTCTGTTTCAGGCCTATCAATTTACAGGTATTTATTTAATAGTCTTGATAATGTCAGTGACAATCTCTCAGCCAAGAGGTGTTAGCATTTTTAAACAAAATATCTGGAGAAAGCTATTTAAATCAAAGTCAGGTGTCACTGGTGACAGAATTTTAGGTTAGTAGGGAAGGTATTCCGATAACAGAAGTCATAAACTTTAACTATCTGAATGGCTATTTATTCTGTTCTTACAAGTACTATAGTATAGTAGAAAATGTTTCACTTTACCTACGAAATGAAGAAAAGGCAACATGATTTCTAATATTTGTAAAATCTTGATGTAGGTTAAAAAGAAAAGTTATAGGTAGGACCAGTCTTAAATATAATTAGCTGAGTTGTACAAGGAACTAGATCCATCAGCCCTGGAGTTAGAGGACCTGGGATCAAATCTTGGTTTTGCCACTTAGTACCTATGTGACTTTGGGCAAATCACTTATCCTCTCTTGACCCAAGCTTTTCATCTATAGAATGAAGGCTTTTGACTAAATGTCTTATAAAGCCCCTTTAAGCCCTAAATCTATGGACCTCTAATTCATTAAACTGTTTCTGGGAAGCTGACAATCTACTAATTTGATCAATTCATAGATCATCGTGATCTTTTGTTTGCCTTTTCAGAAAAGACATTGGTATAAAAATTGAGCCAATCTCAATCCAGTCCTGGATATCTTCTAATGCTAACTAGTATCTTCCATGGATTTCTTTCAGAAACTAGCTTATGCAATCACTCCTGAGAAAGAACATGGCCTGGTAGAGAATGGAGAAGTGCGCCAATTCACTGTAAGTAATCACTGCTTGGAGGAGAAGGGATTTTCACCTTGGGCAGTGGCAGAGGTTTCAGTGCCTCCTGAGCCTGAGGATGTACTGACACAGTAGCAGCCTCTCTACTGACTTTCATTAAGTACTGCTGATGAAAACACACATTGCTTGGTGGCCTACTTTCTGATGACAAACCTATCCACAGTTAGGCTGAGCCTTAGGTAACAGGTGCAAAGTCCATCGCTAGACATATACCCAATGCCTTTCCAGCTTGGTAGGACCTGCCAGAAGTTGTGTGCCTCTGAGAACCCAAGATCACTTCTAAGATACCCACCATGGGGCATGAAGCTTCAGAGGGGGCTGGGATTATATATTAAATTAATAAAAGTATGTTTACGTAGGATCAAATAGAATGATAAAATTCTTAAAAATGTGTAACTAGTTATCCATAATCTCAACTGTTTGAAGTGGAATGTAATTCCCTTATATAGATAACATTCTTTAATGCTCACCTATACAAGCCACAATGTTTTATATATATACTGAACATGTTAGAAGAGCAACATGTCAAATCAGAGCTACCAGACATCTTTCTGGAATCACTTACACATATAATAATAGCTGCACTAATTAGAAAGAGTAATGACCTAGCTTGCTCATTATTGAGAAACTTTCCATTCCTGTGACTGGATAAACAATTCTGGGCAGTTTAAACTCAGGAAATTTACCCTGTCATTGCCTTGACTTAAACACTCCATTTTAACCTCTTGAGAGAAGCTGCAGTGACACATCTGAGTTAGAGGCAGAACTGGGACACATGTCACTCTGGAAGACTTCTAATATTTACGACAGAATTGTACACAGATACCACCCTCCTGACTTCAGAGATAGCCATTTTGGATTAAACCACTATTACTAAAAGAGCAAGAATTTTTCTCCCTTTCTATTCCCCAATTAAGGCATGAGAGGATGAACGTATATTTTATAAACTTAGGTTCTACATAAAGAGAAAGATCAGCTATCCTCATGTTTGCCATGGCTGCTGCTTTAAACATTCCTGTGGCCAGAGCAGCTAGGTACTACAGTAGATGAAGCTTTAGGCCTGAATCAGGAAGATCTGAGTTCAAATCCAGCCTCAAACACTCATTAACTGTGTGATCTTGGGCAAGTCATTTAACCTCAGTTTCCTCACCTGTAGAATGAGGAAAATAACCTCTTGGGGTTGTTGTAAGAATCAAATGAAATAATATTTGTAAAGCAAATGAAATCAAATCAAATATTTGTAATATTTGTAAAGCACTTAGCACAGTGCCTGACACCTAGTAGGTGCTATAGAAATCCTGGCTATTATTAGCCAACAACTGTGCACGTGCTGATTTGCTGAGGTCCTGACGACACGGTTGTTGTCAACTGGATAAGGTTCAAAATTAGACCAAACCAAGAACTGCCATAATAATAGGGTATGACATGTCCTTCGAAGCCTAAATAGCTATTTGTTCAAATGCATCCATCTCAAGAAACTGAAACAGGCGAGCAGAGAGTCATTGTCACTGGTTTGTATGCCTGAGATTTTTTTTTTAATCCATAAAATTAAGATAGAGATACAGACTTTGAGCCTCTCCTGTTATCTGATTGAGGATTTAGAAATCCTTTTCAAGGCCTAAATCCTAAGCTCCCAGCCACACAGTAACTGACCAGCCCTGTTATTTGACTAGTCGGGACAAAATTGGATCAAGAATTATTATTTGATTCCTACAGCAACCCTGTGGAATAGGAGGTTTGCATATTGGTATCCTCGTGCGCAGATAAGGAAATTGAGGCTCAGAGAGATGATGCGCCGTGCTGGTAATGAAATGTTAGAGATGGGATCCAAACCCAGGTCTCTATTTTGACTGCAAATTCAGAGTGCTGTATCCAGCTCTTCACAACCTCACTGGGGGTTTTCTTGGCAAAGATACTGAAGGGGTTTGCCATTTCCTCCTCCAGCTCATTTTAGGGATAAGGAAACAGCATTAAGTGACTTGCCCAGTGTCACACAGCTAGTAAATGTCTGAGGCCAGATTTGGACCACCTGGTTTCCTGTAGTCAGGAAGACCTGAGTTCAAATCTGGCCTCATTTAGTAGCTATATCAACCCGGGCAAGTCACTTGATATCTGTCTTCCTCAGTTTCTCCAGCTGTAAAGTGGGAATAGTAATAGCATATATCTCTGAGGGTTGTTGTAAGGATCACATGAGATATTTGCAAAGCGCTTCAGGAACTTTAAAGTACTAGGTAAATGTTAAGTTATCATTATTATTATCATCAGCCACCTCCTGAGGATGTATGCCTTTCAGTAGACTAGGGGTTCTCAAAATGTGGTCTGTGGGCTAGTGATCCAAGGAATGCTCAGAGAATCAAGGGGCCTTGGAGGTCATTTAGTCCAACACTCTTTTTGCAGATAAAGAAGCTGAGACCAAGAGTAGATAATCTAAGGAGAGGGGTGGGCGTTGCTAGGTGGCAGTGGATAGAGACCAACCCCTAGAAATAAGAGGACCTGAGTTCAAATCCAGCCTCAGACACATTCTAGCTGTGTGAGTCGGGTCAAGTTATTTCATCCAGATTGTCTTGAGAAACAAACAAAAAAAGTTAACCTAAGGTCACACAGGTAGCAAGAGGTCTATTGTCACAAGTTTATAATGAGGATCCATATGTTTTTGTTTATGAATTAATAACTGGCATTTCCATAATACTTATATATGTATATATGCATAATTAAAATATATGTAAAATATGTGTGTATTATGTGTGTATGTATATGTGTTTTGTATGTGTGTGTATACATATGCATGTGTGTGTGTATTTCATTTGGCTGCGATAAATAAAAGATCCCCTTTTTGTTACTTCATCCCATCAAAAACAATGCTAGTCTTTCCATTTATTTCAGCTGTGTGACCTTGGTGTTCTGGGCCAGGCTTAATCCACATCAGGATAATATTTCTGAGGCACTCATATATGATAAAATGTGATTAAAAACAACTTTACTGATCACAAAAAATTTAAAAGAATACAACTCCTAGTTTAAAAGGATATAAAATGCTTCTCTTCTCCAGCTCCATAATCACCATGGCAACTGGCCCCACTAGGTCAGGAAAGCATTCCCTCAGGCAGTAAGAGCTTTGATAAACCTTCTGACACCAACAGCCTCCTTGCTATCTTAAAGCACCAGCCTCCCCTGAGTTGAGGACATTGGATGAAGTCGCTGAAGAGGAAAGGGAAGAAGGGGGAAAGAAGGTGGGATGCAAAGAGAAGTTTCCCCCTGGCAGTGGAATCGTGGATATCATCCCATCCTCTGCTGTGCTCCAACCCCATAGCCAGGCCATTCTTCCTCAGTGAAGGCACCTAATATCCCACTCAGCAGAGGCACAAAACAAGAAAGTCTTTCCATACTTGGGAAAGGCCTTTGAACTCTTTGGACCACCATATCCTCATCTCTAGAATGAGGGATTTGAACCGGTATGCTGAAGCCAGTTTCTAGCAGCAAGCCAATTGGCATTTATGAGCAAGTGTGAGCATTTTGTATCTTTGAAATCAGCAAATGCCATAAACAGGGCTTGAGACTTAAGAAAGTGATGGAGAAAATATTAATCAGGCAGATTAAACTTAAAAGGGCATAGTGGGTCCTTTTCTTTTTCCTGGAGAACTAGTTGTTAAATATTTACCAACACTCCCCTGACTAGGTCCCTTCCTGTTTTAATGTTCTGTGATTTTATGATGAGTTTTCTTTTGCACTTGGTAAGTAGGAGCAGAATAGGGGAAGTGAATGGAAGAGGGCTAAGTGACCCATTGAGTGCTTAGTCTTGCTGCAATGGTTTATAGACTGAAAAAGATTGAGAACTATTGGCACCAACTACTTCCATCCACTCGTTAGAGTCCCTACGTAAAGCGCTGTTCAATTTCAATGGAAATCCATTTTCTCTTTTCCCAGCTCCGCCATTGGCTAATGGTGTAGACTGATATGAAGAAAGAAGGAATGTGAAGATTAGCTTAAGGAGAAGACCCAAAACATGAACTGATGGAGAAAGGAAGCCTATTTTTATTATGTAACCTCTTCTTTACTGCAAAGAGGAAAAAAAGAAAAAAGCTTTTCTCTTCTGACTGTTTACACAGCGTCTGCACCAAGGGATAAGTTATTGTCATTGTCCTGTGCTGGTTAAATATAGCATACAATTAGTGTGGTGAGTTCTTTGGTTCAAATGCTCAATCACTACTAAGAGGAAAGAGTAAATCACTTCATGCTATTCATGCACAGCCCTTCACTTAAGGTCACAGGAACATAACCGGCAGCATTTTGTTTATGTTTTCTTAGTGAATTTGGAGAGAAAGGAATGTCCTAGTCAGTAGCTATCAGGCAAATTTGATTGTCTGTTATCAACTTCCTAGATGATTTCTGCTCACCTACAGAAACCAAGTATTCCATTTTGTTTAATTGTGGAGAATGTGAAACAAACAAAAGAGTAATTCTTGATTTTAGAGCACTTTAAAAATCTCTAGTTCAAAGTTAAGGCTACAAAAAATAAGAATACGGTTGTGTGTAACATAACAGTGGTATGTAGAAAGCCATCAAGGTCAAACATATGCTAAGTATGATATGGATAAAAATTTATTTTCATTTAGTTGAGAGAAAAAGATAAGTTGAATTAGCTTTATCCAACTTTATATCTGGTAGGTTGAGGAAGCCAGAACAATCCAATATGGCTTGTCTCTGAACTGAGTTGACAGAGCAGCAAGTCATATTTACTGAGCATCCTCATGGACACAGCAAGAGTTTCTGGACCAGAAGGGGCATGCAGTTGACAAATTCAGGACAGCTGTGCATCATCATAGGACCATCTAATTATGAAGTGGCCGGCCAGTCTATGCCCAGTTTTATAATGTAGCAAGAAATGTGTTCTAGAATGTTAACTGCTCACTTAACGTGTCTCGATTTCCCAACCGCAACCTCTCCTCAGAAATGGGGTTCCATTTTTGATTGATTCATTCCTTGCATGTCTGTCTTTGTAACAGTATTGTTACCATGCCACAGGCTTTAATTTGCTGATGGAATGAGACAAAATCTTGAAATGCCACATAAGTACACTTCACCTTTTGAGTGTATTGATTAAAAATTATTGTATTGTAATAATTCAGCTTGATTGGTGGAGCCTGTCTGAAATTATGACTTTGTTATCTTTCAGAGATGAAGTAAAAATCATTAGTTGACACTGAGTGCCAAGATCCCACCAAGGAACCCAGAATAGCGCAGCTCATATCCTATAGTTTTGGGTTTTTTTGACTGAGCTATCCGCCATCAGTTTATGCCTGACAGCTTAGAAGTACATTTTCATCCTCTATTGCTTGAGCAGTAATTTAGCTTGAAGATTTTTTATGCTGGTCTTAAGATGGTTTTATCGTGATCGAGTTAACCAACCCTAGACTCATCCACATTGGAGAGTCAGGACAGGTTGTAGGGCAAACTAAAAGGACAACCAGGAGACTGGGAGATGCCTTATAATCTAGCCATGCACAACAAAGCCAGAGCCCATGTAATTCATGTTGCTCTACACCAGGAGTTCTCAACCTTTTTTGTGTCACAGATCCCTCTGGCAGTCTGGTGAAACCTACAGGCACCCTTCGTAGAATGTTTTTAAATGCATGCAATAAAAGGCACAGGATTACAAAGGAAATAGATTATACTGAAATACAGTTATCAAAAAATTCTCAAGTTAATGCATCCAGGTTAAGAACCTCTATTGTCTAGTCACAATTCACATCACAGAACATCACATCATGTTGCAGATCCACATACGAAAACTGGATTCTAAGATCTGAAAGAAAAAAAGTTGACATAGGAGAACAATGACTCTTAAAGAGCAATACATTCATATATTATAACTATATAAAAAACAAGCAATCCTAGAACACACCCAAAATATGGGATACCATAGAATATCTGTATTGAGTCAAAAGACGTGGATTCTAGGTTCATGCTGTATCTCTTGCTATTCTGTGAACTTTTAATAAGTTATAACCAGAGTCTCACCCATATGACAAAGGACAAGTACTTCTCAGAGTTGTGAGAACCAAATAATTTACTTGTATGCCCATTATTCATTGATTTGTGAGTAGTGCTGGCTTCTAACACAGTTAAAGGTAGAACATGCTACCTTATAACTAGTAATGGAAAGAACCCTTTGTATTAAAAATACTTCATCCTGGTGCTGCACCGAAAGAAAGAAGGAAAAGGAAAGGAACAAAGGAAGGAAAGAAGAAGGGAGGGAGGGAAGGAAGGAAGAACCTCTATTCTAGACTAAACAGCTTTGACTTAAGGCGAAAGGTAATAATTATTAATTTTATTTCTTTTAAATATACACACTAGGCAACAGTATTCATTTTAATATTAGGAGAATGTTTTTAGAAATCATATTAAACAGGCAGAAATAATACATAATGTATTTGGTGGGTCTAAAAGTTTAGCACTTAATTATGGCTGCTTCCAATCCTTATTTACTTAAATGTCCCTAACAAAAATGTCTCATCAAGGAAATTTTTCAAGAATTGTTGGACATCATATGTGACGTTTTCCATGGAGGAATACATGTGTCATTATTCTAAGCACATGCTGAAAGCTTTTGAGTCTGTACTGTGTCTATGAGGATTTGAACAATAGCTGTTGAAAATCGAGGTGCTGTTAATGAATGTGGAAAAATACCAATGACTTTTTTTTAAGCAACTTCTAGTTATGTCTTACCTGTGGATTTCTGAACCCATGAGTCTATTTCTCAGCTGTCTAATGCACGTGGAAGATGGAGTCTGACCAATGCCTGTAGAACTTTGTGTGACATCATAGTTTGTTGTCTACAACTTTGTTTTGTGCTTGTGGTAGAGGGGAATCCAATTTATATATTCTCAATTTTAAGTTGATTGTTTCTGTGTACTTTATGTAGAAAACTTGATGTCATAAATGTTGATTCACATTTCACTACTCAATAAATATCTTGTACGGGTCACTACTAACAATAAAATCCTAAATTGGAAAAACTGTCTTAGGAAAATGGGTACTATTTGTTTCTGTTGATTCAATTTTTTGTTGTTTCTCTTATGCCTAAAGATTCTCACTTAAGTTCAGTTAACCAGAGTTTTTAGTAAACCATGAGGCCTTTGATACTATCACGTAACTAAAGATAGTCCACACCTGAATATAGGACATTCCACTAAAATGAGATCTCTTTGAAAAGAAGGAAAGCTTAAATAAGGAAAACGCTTGGCAGCAGAGGGAGGAAGTCAGTGTCAGTGAGGAAGGAGCAAGGAAGTGTGCTTCTTCCTGGCCCAGTGCACCTATGGAAGAGATTCATTTAGGAGAGCTGAAGGAGTATGAAAAGAAAAAGGTCTAAAGTGAAGGGAAATTCGTTAACTTTAGAATGAAGATGGGTGGGTGGGTGTGAAGTAAGGGTAAAGTAAGCAGACCCAAGAATATAATCTATACAATAACCACAACAATGTAAATGGAAAAAAAAAACCAACTACTTTCTGAGAAATTAAAAGTGAATGTAATGAAATCACAAAGATCTAGTAGGTTTCAAATGAAGAGATATGAGAGAACAACCCCAGTGCACCCCTTTATGGAGGTGGGAGGTCCACAGGTGTTACCCATTGCACAGGTTTGCAAACTTTTTCAATGTATTGATCAGTTGTGCTGATTTTTTTTCCTCTCTAAAAAAATTAAAATAAGATTTGTTATATGGGATGACCTCTGGGAGAGGATGGGGAGAAGTACTCAGAATAACTATGGTGATGTAAGGAAAAGAAGTCAATTAAAAACTTTTTTAAAAGTTCTTTAAAAGGAAGAAAAAATGAACAGGGAGAGGCTGGAGGGACATAGATTGAAGAAGGCACAATGGAAGAAGGCAGAGCAAGATAGTATTTAAAGAGAGGTAAAGCAGAGGTGAGGCAGCTACATGGCTCAGTGGAGTCAGGAAGACCTGAGTTCAAATTCAACCTCAGACACTTACTAGCTGTGTGCCCTGAGCAAGTCACCTAAATTGTGTTTACTTTAATTCACTGGAAAAGTAAATGGAAAACCACTCCAGTATCTTTACAAGAAAACCCCACAGACAGTATTGATGTGCTATGGTCCACAGGGTCTTGAAGAGTCAGACATCACTGAACAACAACAAAAGCAGATGTAAAATAGAAGTAATGGAAGTCAGTGGTAGAAGGCGGACAGGATGGGGAGGATGTATGTCAGCAGCTAGAAACTGAATCCAAGGAATTATTAGAAGAGCAGGAGGTGTAAAATTGCTAACCAAAGCAGAAGTATCATTTGACTGGAGTTTCTACCCACATGTAAATTGGTAGTGGTAGAAGTACATTTCCCTTAAACAGAAACACTCGCCTTTACACAGGTACTGGACTTAAAAGACATGTAGGTAAGCAGATGTGCCCACCTTCTTCCCTCACAGCCTGCTTGGACCTCTGTGCAATTATCAGAAAGCTTTCCTAGCCTTCCAGTGCCTGCTCCAGTTTTACCTCAGGTCAGTGTAGGGTTTAAAAATTCAAATGTCATTATACTACAGTATTTCATAAATTAATTCAAATTGGTTCACCTTATCCCCATCCCATTAAGACTCTTGTCACCTTCCCAACTTCAAGTGACCCAAAAAATGTACACTCACTAGAGGTAGTATGCATATAGAGTAATTAATGGTCTGCGAAATGTAAACAATACAATATTAAAACTCCCCGATGCTATGCTGCTCCAGAAAATGTCTCAGATCTCTGCTTCACCTCCATCCAGGTAATAGCTGTCCTACAGAGTGCCTTCCCTAACCCCCTGTGGCTGGCCCTGCTGTGACTGTTCTACATGGCAGCCATTCACCAGCTGAATGTCCTCTGCTCCCAGTGGTTACCAGAGGGTCTCTCTAATGTCCCCAACATCTCTTTGAGATGCCCCAGGGGTCCTGGATCTTTAACAGCTCTAACAGTAATCTTTCTTCCCATGATACATTTTAAATTGGTTAACATCATTTGGAGTAATGAGATGATAGAGAGACACACACACATACAGAGAGAGAGAGAGAGAGAGAGAGAGAGAGAGAGAGAGAGAGAGAGAGAGAGATGGATGGATGGATGGATGGATAGACAGATTTAGTTTATTGAGTTCAACCCCCTCATTTTACAGATGAGGAAACAGAAAGAAAGACACAAAGACATTGTCTAGGATAACACAGCTAGTAAATGTCAGAGAATTTGAACTCAGGTAATCCTGACTCCAAGTCTATTGTCCTATCTACTGGCTCATGATATCACTGATTAGAAGTTCTTAACTTGGGAGTGCAGGAGGTCTGTGGCTAGATCTCAGGGGGTAAATATGAATGGGGAAAAATATGTACATATACATATATCTCTATATCTTTATTTTCACTAACCTCTAATTGAAATTTATATTTCCTTCAATTATTTGAAAACATACTGAAACGAGGTCTATAGTCCTCATCAGATTGTCCAAAGGGACCATGGCACACAGACACACAGACACACACACACACACACACACACAGACACACACGCACAAGACTAAGAATTCTTGTACTAGAACTTTCTTCTTGTATTAAAACAGCAAACAGGAAATGGTAGAGGAGAAAGTGTCTGTCAGAACCTCAGGAGGCTGCTGGGATAAGAAAAGGGGGTTGCCCCTTGTGTGAGAAGGTTCTCATCTCCAGCTGATGAGAATTAGTAGGGCTGGTTTCAAGAGGGTGCACTAGACTGCAGTCCCCTTGGCTTTATTTAGGAGCATCAGGAAGTGAGTAGAACACTGGCATAATTGGTTTGGAGGTGGTTGGAGCTTGCCTGGGTGCTGTCAGTACAGTATAACGGAAGAGAAATGAAAGCCAGCATGTATTCTGGCTATACCGTTAGCCAGAAAGCAGGTTCAGAGCATCCTTAGTGGGTATACATTTAAGCAATAACCTAAGAAAGGATAGAGAGGTGCAAAATGAATGAATGTGTAGGATGAAAGCTTGATTCCGTGGAGGTAAATTGCAGGCATACCCCGACAAGTGAAGGTATTAAGGGTGAGGACAGAGGCTGGAAAGCACCAGGGCCTCAGATTGATTATAGAACCGTTTTTGTTTGTTTGTTTGTTTTTAGGCAGTTGGGGTTAAGTGACTTGCCCAGGGTTGCACAGCTAGCAAGTATGTCAAGTGTTTGGTCTGAGGTCAGATTTGAACTCAGGTCCTCCTGACTTCAGGGCTGATGCTCTATCCACTGCGCCACCTAGCTGTTCTAGAACTGTTCTTTTATGTGCTGTTGTGGTACTTGCTTAAAGGGGAGTGTTTGTGATTTTAATTGCTTGTCCCTCCTTTTCCCCTACCCTCCTCCCCAGTCAACCCCCAGTACAGCACATACCAGTATGGGGCAAGCAATGATGAAACTGAATCTAAGTTTTCGTCTTGGGCAATTATTCTGAATCATGAGCAGCTAAACTTGTTCCTGCTTCTATCAGTGATCAGGGAGCTGCTGGGCAAACTGTCAATTTGTCTGTGGCCTCTAGCATTCCTCCAACCAGCAGCGGGCCACTTAGTTAAACACCATTGGAAGCTGTCATTGGCTGGAGTGACAGATAGCTTTGCCATCCAGTGAC